TTATAAGCAATCAAGAACCGAAATTAAAAGGCATTTAAACTTCAAGACGAAGAATTTCAAAATCATTTGAGATTTTATTAAATTTTGCAGCGTTTTATAGAAATGAAAAAATGTTTAGAGATAAAAAGATAAGCCGAAACATAAAAACGAAAATCTACAAAACGACCATAAGACCAATAGTGGTATATGCTGCAGAAACATTTACATCAACATTGGTTCAACGGTGATCAACATTGACATCAAGTCGCCTAATGTGTGGTACATTTTTTAAAAACATTATTTAAAAATAATGTAATTAATTTTAGGCACTATTTTTAAATATAACGTTTTCTTGTTTTCTAATTTCTATCATAATACTCGTATTAGAGACATAGCATATCCTAATATATGGAGTATCATTTACAATACAAACTTTCAAAATAAATTCAATTATTTTGGGTTTTTTGGATTAAAACTATTTATTTATGAAAATGACATATAAAAATACATCTTACAAGAAGGTATTTTCATCAGAGCAAAAGTCACAAATATACCGGTCTCTTTCACACCCAGAACATTTAACGTGAGCCCATTTAATACAGCACTGACACATCACCCATTGTTCGCCTCTGACATCTACAGAATATGGAGTTTCGCAAAAAAAATCAAACGGCATTTTCTTCAAGGTTTTCTACCAGGTCATCTACATCTGAACCTCGACACTCTACTGCAGGGGCGAATATAAAGATAAAGAACCACTGGATCCTCTTTTATTTGGTTTTTCTTTGGCCAGAAGATAAAGGTAATTTCCTTTTTTCAATACTGCTCTTTAATTCATTTTTGTATGAAGTGCTAGTTACAATGTTAACTTTGCCACTTCTTGTACTCTTTTTTAGGATCTTTTTAGAAACTGTTGGAACAGGCATCAAATCTGCAGGAGTAACATGTCTTTCATATTGAAGTAGGTACATAGACAATCAACAAAATCTACAACGTCAACTACACAGTAAAGATCCAACAAGAGAAGAAGTGTAAAATGCCATCCTAAAACTCAAAGATGAAATATGTTCGGAAATGTATAAAATAGGTGGTGATCAATTTTGCCACAAAGAGTCGCTAAAGGGAATAATATGTCCGTTGCATAAAACGGGTGATCAACTGATAACCGTTAAAATGCAGAGACTTAAATGGGCTGGTCACGAAGAGATTAACATTGTCAAAACCAAAGGGCACAAGAAGTAGAGGATGACCACGAAGGAAACGGATTGATGATGTGGAAGAAGACCTACCCGATTCTAAGGGTCAGAAGAGGAAGGGAAGTTGCCAGGAATCGACAGGAGTGGAGACTTCTTTGTGAGCAGGCCAATATCCACAACAGATTGTCTTTCTTATAAAATTGTATTTCTAGTACAGCTTATCCTTCTTTTATTTCTTTATTGACTGTTTCCTCTTCCACTGCTTCTTCGTTAACTGTTTGTTTTTCTACTCTTTCTTCAACCCTTTCTTGCATTTCTGCGACAAAATCACATTTTTTAAATATTTTTCTGTTGGGGGAGAAACATACTAGTTTTCTTAAACCCATTAATTGCTGTATCCAGATCGCTACTTTTATATAAGCGCTTCAAAAAAGTTATCCTACTTGATAGCCTGTTACAACACGTCCTGGATTAAGCCTAGGCCAGTTTGTGATCTCCTGTGTGTAATAAGTTTTGAACGGTGACATAAATGCCACATCTAATGGCTGCATTTTATGTGTCGAATGCAGTGGAAGACAAATTATTTGTTTATTGTATCTAGCGCTACAGATATTTACTCCAATTTTTTTGTATGAGAGTATTGACTATCAAGGATCAAAATCACATCGTCAGTGCTAGGCTTTCTATGTAATTAAAATGGCGGAGCCAATCAACAAAAATATCTTGTTGAATCCAGCCAGATACATGACACGCATACTTAGATCTAGTATGAGGCCATTCATTATAATATAGTTTCATTTTCATGTCAGGTTCATGGCAAGTTTTAAAACTGTAATGGTAGGTCCATATAAAACAAACGGTTAAACGAAGACTTAATTAGCAAACAAATTTATCATTTATAAGATCTAGAATAGAGTGTAAAAAAAAACAAACAAATTGGAAGTATATGTTGTACAGGATAGAGATCGATAGAAGGAGTTAGAAGAAACCTATGACCAAAAATGAACGATAGAAGGCTAAGGAGAAGAAGAAGAATAGAGTATAAATCAATAGCACATGCCTCTGCTTAAACATATTATTCAAAATATCCGTTTAATAAGCATAAATTTCGTTTACATATTTTTTACATCAGTTTTATATTTCTCTAAGAAAAAAATATCCCTTTAATAAGCATAAATTTCGTAAACATATTTTTTACACCAGTTTTATATTTCTCTAAGAAAAAAAGAAATTTTGAATCTTATCGAATCTTGAAATTTAGATTTTATTCTGATACTCATCAGCAGTGTGCTGCCATCTACTAACTAATATTGGAATGAGTGACGAAGTGTACAGACAGCAACTAAACTTTATTATTTTATCGCTAAGATGACTCTAGTGTAATTGTCAAGTCAAATGACATATTTTCAATATTTTGTAGGTTAAATTTCAAAAATAATAAGCAAAATGTACCTCAGAAATATAACAAAACTAACACAATATCTAAATAAATTTTCACCTAATAATAATGTGAGGTAAATTAAAGTATACATTTCGTTTTTAATCAAATTAATTATATCGTTTATTTCAGAAGAAGTATCACCTCTTCCACAAAGTTATTTATTCCAGGTGCTTATGAAGCTTCAGGTCAAACATCTGTACAAATTTTGAATAAGGATACAGAGTTAGGAATAATGATAAATGGGTTTAGTCAGGTAGATGTTTCAGGTGGATATTTAATAATATTATTACATAATAAATTGTCTTTTTAGGTTGGATTTAGGCTAAATAATGACTTCACTGTGTTAGGATCTATGGTTATATTTCCAAGGTATGTTATTTTATTTGTTTATTTCCTACAAGATTTTACCTATTTTTATTAGTAACCCTTATATGTTATGGTTTCGTCTTAAACTCTCTTTATCTTCTATATGTAGTACTATTTTTATATTCTACATTGTGATGTATATCACATTTATATGAATTGTTTTAATTCATGTGTGAATGTGAAAATATCTATTTTATTTACAAGATTGTTTCTTTTTCTGTTTCTTTATAGTTCATAATTTTTGTACAATATATCCAATCATTTTTTGTTTAGCTTATATTTGTTAATATAAGAGTTCTTATGTTATGCTTATGTATAGTCCCTGTTACTAATAAATATGTTAATAAAGGCTCTAATGATTTTGTAATTTGTTAAAATCAATTATTACCCCCACATTTGCATAACTCATATTAAATGATATAATAAAGATTTTTTTAGGTCAGTTCTATCGTGGAATGTACATGATGTTTCAGAGATAACGGAAGATACCCTTAGTCTGTTTTCCATTTTAGAACCAAAGATAGACATTTTAGTGATAGGAGTGGGTGATAGATTAGACAACTTTGATTTTTACAAAAATCTATTACCTTTCATGAGAAAACATAAAATTGCCTTGGAAATTCTTCCCACAGAATCAGCGTGTTCTACTTTTAACTTTTTGAATTCTGAAGGAAGAAATGTAGTGGGTGCTATGATACCACCTAAAACATTTAGGGTTTCTGAAGATGATGAATTAGTTTCCAAAATGAGATATCAGAATTTATATGTAAAAGAATAAATAGTTTTAAAAATATTTTTGTTTTATTTCTATGTTTGAAATTCAGTCTTATGGGAGATTGGTTTCTTTCTTGTATAAAGAAACAAACTCTTCAAAAACAAAAGACTTTTTGTCAATAAAGATGCTATATTTTCTTTCTCTATTAAAATATATCGACCATTGTTTTACAGATTATTTTGTGAATTTTAAATTTTTCATTTAACTGATAATTTAAAGTTCGTGATTTCTAACTGTGATAACATATTTTTATTGGGATATACCAACAGTGAGATGTGTTTTCAATTGCCACATTAAATCTAATGCAATTTCTAGCTCCAAACCGATAATTTGCTTCATATCCTCTTTTATACTAACTCACATATCGATTAATATGGACTTATGACTCTCCTTCAATGGAAACAATCTGTAGATTGAGTAGTTGATGTAGATGGGACAGTAGGCATATTCGCCGATCCCACTACCTACAGAATGGACAAACCAATACGGTCTTGGGATTGGTAATAAATATAGCGAGGGGATATTATGATTTGGTGCCAAGTACAATTTGGCTGTGTCACAGTAAAATCGTTTTTACATTTCTAGTGGGTATTTGTTTAAAATCTTTTAGTTGTTTTTTACATAGAATTGAATGGTATGAGTTGGATTTTTCCAAACATGATATTTTTTGATAAACGGAGCAGAAGAGAATACCATATTCATTGTTTAACAAACTGTCTGATATTGACTTGAAACTAATCATGTGTAATACTGTTTTTTTTTTAGTTTGGCCATTTTGTTGTATCGGAAAATATCAAATTTGGAAAAATATATGTATCTAACTCTACTGGATTTTACGGGAAAACTATATAATTTTAAGATATAAAATAAGTGAAACCAACCCCCTTGGTTCTAAAAATTAAAAAAAAACAATTTCGCTGGGTTAGCAAAACTGAAGGGGACTAGGAAATTTTTGGATTTTGACATCTTTCATCATCATCACCCAGTCCTTTGCGTCAACTGCTGGACATAGGCTTCCCTTATTTTTGTCCATTGTGTTCTATATTAAGCACTTTTCATCCAATTTCTTGAGATCGTCAGTCCAGCGGGTAGGGGGTCTTCCTCTATCCGGAAAATTACATCGGTAACTCTTGTTCTTCGTCTTAAGTATTCATTTCTAACTCGGTCAAAGATAAAAAATTTTTGTTGATACTAACTAGCGAAAAATTATATATATAATAGCACTACGAGCCTAGTAGGCCCATGGCTTGAGCTGTTATTGTTTTCCATTTCTTCCTATTATTAGCCTTGTCCTTCCATCTTTCTATTCCCAGTGTTTCTAGGTCTTTCTCTACTTCTTGCTTCCATCTACTTCTCGGCCTTCCTCTTCTTTTTTTTGTACCCATTGTATGCATCAGAATCATTTTTGGTACTCGAGAATTTGTCATTCTTTCTATGTGCCCTAGCCACCTGAGTCTCTGAGCCTTTACTACTCACACTATACTAGGATTCTTGTACATATCTTCTAATTCTTTATTTATTCTTCTTTTCCATGTATTGTCTACTATCTTGCCTCCAAATATCTTTCTCAAAACCTTTCTTTCCCATATTTCGAGCATACCTGTTTCGCCTTTGTTCAGTGTCCACACTTCACTGGCGTAGGTTACCACTGGTTGTATAACTGTTTTGTAAATCCTTATTTTGGCATTCCTAGATATCTGTTTACTTTTTAATAGCCTGTTTAAGGAGTATACGCATCGGTTTCCTGCCATTATTCTTGATTGGAGCTCCTCTCTAATATTTGGTTTGCATGTGAACATCGACCCCAGGTATGTAAATCTTTCCACTGCTTCAAATATATATGCTTTTTCACCCTCTACTTCTATTTTTAGATTTCCTCCTTTTTGTTCACTGTCATCTATCCATTCCATGTATTTTGTCTTACTTTCGTTGATGTTTAAGCCTATTTTCTTTGCCTCTCTATCTAGCCTCTTTACTACTTCTTGTAGCTCCCATTTGCTTCGAGCCAGTATTACTACATCGTCTGCAAAGGCTAGACATTGGTGCTTTCTTTGGTATAACAATCCCTCTCTGTTGACATTTGCATCTCGTATGACCTTCTCCAAACACAAGCTGAATAGTATCGATGATAGGGGATCTCCTTGCCTTACTCCTTCACTGACTTCAAATTTTTCCGACATTATATTATTTATTTTAACTCTGCTCTCAGTCTTGGACAACGTTATTTGTATCATTCTTATAAGTTTTCTACTGATACCCAATTCTTCTAGTGCTTTGCTCATTTGGTTCCGTTTTATTCTATCGTACGCTTGTTTGAAATCAATGAAGAGGACCCTTGTCGGCAGATTGTGTTGATAACTTTCCGCTTGCAATTCTCTGAGCGTAAATATCTGATCTATTGTACTTCTACCAGGTCTGAAGCCACATTGGTACTCGCCGACAATGTTTTCTATCACTCCTGCCAATTTGTCCTTTATACACGCTGCAAGAATTTTGTATGCAGTATTCAATAGTGATATCCCTCTGTAATTTTGACAATCTGTCCTATCGCCTTTCTTATAAAGTGGGCATATAATTGCATCTGTCCATTCTTGTGGTAGTTGTTCTTTAATCCAAATCTCCTTTATTAATTTGAACTTTTGCTCCTCTAGCGTTTTCCCTCCATATTTGAACATCTCTGCAGTTATATTATCACTTCCTGGACTCTTGTTATTTTTTAATTTCTTTATTATTTCCTTTATCTCGTTTCTGGTAGGGGGTGTTTCTTCTGTCTCATTTATTTGGTTCCTATGTTTCTCCGTTCTTATAGGCTGTTGCTGTTCTATCCTGTTTTCGTCATTTAGCAATTCATCGAAGTATTCTTTCCATCTAGCGGCTATTTCATTTTCTCCACTAATGGCGTTTCCCTCTTTATCTTTGTAAAATATTGTTTTTTGTTGGTATCCTTTTTTTTCATTTTTTACTCTCTGGTATAAATTTCTAATTTCTCTATTTTTGTAATTTTCTTCTATTTCTTTCAGCTGATTTTCCATGTACTTTCTCTTTTTCATTCTCAAAACTTTTTTTACGATTTTTCTTTGTTTTTCATATCTGTTTCTTGTTTCTTCCGTATCACTTTTGATCATATCCATCCTTAGTTTACTTCTTTCTTCAATTTCCTTCTGGCATTCTTCGTCAAACCAATCCTTTTTCTTTTTAGTTATATATTTATTGCATTCTTTAGCTGTGTTACTGATAATCTGCTGAATTTTGTCCCAGTCCTTGTCTATGTGCCCTTCTAGGTGTATTTCATTTAATTTTCTATCGATACCTTTTCTATACATTTCTTGTTCTTCTTGCGTTACAAGCCGCACTGGTTTATTTGTGTTCTTATTTTTTCTTTTGCGATTTTTTTCTTCCGGTATCAGTTGAGCCATTTTAATTCCTAACATGAAGTGATCCGAGTCAGCGTCTGGTCCTCTGTATGTTCGCACGTTCTTTATACATTTTCGGTCTTCTCTCTCTATTAGTACATGGTCAATTTGATTTAATGTTTTTCCATCTGGGGATCGCCATGTTGCTTTGTAGATGCTTTTTCTCTCGAAATATGTACTCATTATTAGCATATTTTTTTCTTTGGCAAAATCTATCAAAAACTGCCCGTTCTCATTAGTTTCTTCGTGGTTTGCTAAATTTTCCTATAGTTGTTCTATATATTTCTTCTTTTCCTATCTTTGCATTTGCGTCCCCCAGTACTACTTTAATGTCATATCTTGGAATACTTTCAAATACCCTATTAACTTCACAGTAGAAATACTCTTTTACTTCAATTATCTTTTTCTTCTGACGGTGAGTGAATGTTAATGAATCTGATTTTTTGATATTTTCCTCTTATTCTTAGACAACATAGACGATCAGATATTGGTTTAAACTCTACAATTGATGCTTTTAACGCTTTATTTACCAAAAATCCTGTGCCTAATATTCTGTTTCTGCCTCCACTATTAAAAAATAAGCTATTTTCAATTTCCAGCATTTCCTGACCCAGTTGCTTTGTTTCTTGTAGTGCCACTACGTCAAATTTAAACTTTTCAATTTCTTTAGTTAAGTGTTTCAGTTTTCCTTCCTCAAAAGTACCCCTTACGTTCCACGTTCCTACCATTAAGTGATCTTTTGGATATGTGTTTCTATTGTCTTTTTTTGTATTTTTTATCTTTAAATCACCCTTTCCTATGACAATGTTACCGGTATTCATGTCCTTGTTCCTTGCGTTGTTCGTCTTCGTATTTTTACTATCATAGCCGTTTTCTAGTTTTTTGAGTTTGTTATTTCCATTTTATCTTCCTTGCTATTCCACTTCCATTCAACACCATTTATCATCATTTTCCTTGCTCCTATTTTGACTTCGTTTCCTTTGTTTCTTTCCTCTTGTGCAATTTTTCTTATTATTTTTTGAATTTCTCTCTCTCTCACCGTTGTGTCATCGTTGATGTATACCTTTTCCTTTTTGACGTCCTTTAACTTTGCTTTATTCTTCATAACTTTTATCTTTTCTTGTTGGTTCTCCATTTCAATTAGGCACGTTTTTGGACCTAGTTTGTGGGCCGTCTTTATTTTGGCCTCTACTGCAAGGTGATCTTTTATAAAATTGCCAATTGCTTTCTTCAATACCAGCTGATCCTGCGTATCAATTGCTAGCCCGTTCATTGCCACATTATTTCGCCTTCTCTGTTTTTCTATAATTTCTATGTTGTCTCGTATTTCCCTTAATTCTTTCTTAATCTGTATGTTTTCCTCTTTTAGAATTTTATTATCATTCTTTAGTTCCTTGTTTTCCCTTTATTAGATGTTCAACTACCTCCTTGTATTCCTTTTGGTCTTCTTTTATTTGTCTAATGTCGCTGGTTAGGTTGCTCATCATTTCTAGCAATTTATCAAGTTTTGCTCCATCCTCTTTTCCTCCTGTCTTCTGAGGGGTTCTTGTTAGTTTTTTATTTTTTCTGGATCTCTCTTCCTCTTGCTCATCATCCTCTCCTCTATTCTTTCTTTTTGCTCCTTCGATTAATCTTGCGAAAAATTACAACTCTATAATATTTAAATATTCTTTTTATTTAGAACGACGTTTAAATTAGGACCAATCGGAGGTTCGTATTTATTTTCCTCTACCGTACGTTGCGGGATCGGCGAATATGCGGACAGTAGGTATCAGAGAAAACAAAATAACCTAAGTAATCTCATAAAACAATAAATTTTAGTGCTCAAATTCATGTAATATAAATATTTGATTTGAGGAAATATGTGTGTAAGATACTAATAATGTAAAAAGTGTTGCTTGCCAAGCAGATCATATCGCTTTTGGATGCATACACACCATTTCCAGAGAACTACGAACACACTGCGTTCGTAGTTCTCTGCCATTTCCAAATCGGAAAAGAAGATTTTCAATTGTCAACCTTAAACTTGTGACAACTAAAAACATTTATTATATATTGGACTTTATTTGTTAAAATCTAATTGAAACATTAAAAAATAATAATAAAATGGCATTTCAACAATTTCAGACGGATAAAATTTGTAGAACTTGTTTATCGGAAGAGAATCTGCTACGATCTCTATTTACTATTGATGAATCTATTGCTGAAAATTTACCATTAGTGGAGATGTTGATGTCTTTTACATCATTGCAAGTAAATAACATAACTAATAAACCGAGGGTTCAAGTTTAAAATGCCTTTCATGTGTTCTAGGTAATAATGGATGACAACTTGCCACACCAAGTATGTATTCAATGTGCCTACTACATTCAGAGAGTTTTTTCTTTTAAGCAAATGTGTGAGAGGTCTGAAACTGTTCTTAGAGGCATGATAAACAGCCAATTGCAAAGAGATTTCTTGGAATTGAAACCTTTATTAACTAGTCAATCTTTATCACCTGATTGTACTGGTACTTTACTGGAAAGCCAGAATCGAACTGTTAGTGAATTAAAGTCAGAACTGACATTATCAAATTCTGTTTCAGAAAACATAGTTGTTAACGAAGTTATCTCATCTAGTAATGAAGCACTTAAAAGCGTAGAATCTATTCAATCTTATTTAGAAAATGTTGGTGATCATCTATCTGATAATGAAGACATTAAGAGTTGTGGTTTAGATATCAAGTATACTGAATTTACTGCTGTGCATTGTAAGTATACATTTTGGGGATGTAACTTATCAGTTCTAACATAAGCTTAAATGTATACAAATTAATGGTGCACTCTTATTATGTTAAAGACAAGATATCAATGTTTTGCTATACAGACTAACTGCTTTTTTATTTTAGTTTCTAATAGCAATGAAGGAGTTATAGATACAGGTCAAGATAAAATAGTTCAAAACACTGTTAATAATAAAGATACAAACCAACCACAAAATGATAGAACTAGAACTGATGAAACTGAAGAACCTATATATCCTTGTGAAGAATGTACTCTTTGTTTTACTACACAGACTGATTTAAAGGTAAAAAATACATTTCCATGCTGTACCAGTAAGCACTACAAAATCTGAAATGAAGATTGCACACATCTTATAGAAAATGTGTTTCTAAAATGCAATAAAATTTTCATGAATAGGTTCATCTCAAAATTACAATCATTTCATATCATTGTGCCAACTCTTAATTTTGATTAATAACATAAATTGATATAAATAAATCTAAGAGATGAAAGACTTAATTGAACCCAAACACATAGATAACGACACATGGATTGAATACCTAAAGAAGCTTTATAATGATGAACAGCAAATGATGTTAGAACCAGAAACACCAGAAATCATTACAAACGAGGAAGTCGAGATAACCATACAAGAAGTAAAACAAACTTTAGAAAAACTGAAGAACAGAAAAGCTGCAGGTAAAGATGGAATTCCAAATGAATTATTGAAATATGGTGAAGAAGCATTAACAGAACAGCTAACAGCACGAATTAACAAAATCATCAAACATAATAAAATACCTGAAGAGTGGAAGAAAAGCGAGCTTATCCTACTATATAAAAAAGGAGATAAAGAACAACCTGAAAACTACAGAGGTATCAACTTATTAAACACCACTTTGAAGCTTACAACCAAAATATTGCAAGGCCAAATAAATCAGAGAATTACCTTAGTGGATGAACAGCAGGGTTTTCGCACAGGAAGATCATGCACATATGCAGTATTCATCATAAAACAGATTACCAAGAAAGCACTAGAGTATAACAGACCAGCATTCATATGTCTAATAGACCTGAAGAAAGCGTTCGATAAAGTAAAGCTTAAAGATGTAATTCACCTTCTTTACAATAGAGAAATTCCACTAGATGTTATAAAAACAATAGAGAACATTTACCAGAACAACAATATGGAAGTCAGAATAGATGACCAGCTTACAGATCCAATAGATATGGGCAATGGAATAAGACAAGGAGACTTGCTTAGTCCAACGCTATTCAATCTAATCATGGATGAAATCATCAATACTATTAATAAAGGAAGAGGATACAAAATGGGGAACAAGGAAATCAGAATACTCTGCTATGCAGATGATGCGGCCCTAATTGCATCTAATGAAGACGATCTACAAAGACTAATCCATAGATTCAACACAAAGGCAAAGGACTTTAATATGATGATCTCTACACAGAAAACTAAAACAATTGTAATCAGTAAAGAACAAATTAGATGTAAACATGAAATCGACGGTATCAGCATTGAGCAAGTAATGGAGACAAATTACCTAGGAATTACACTGTCTAGCTACGGAGATGTGGAGAAGGAAGTGAAAAATCAAGTACAAAAGGCTAATAAAATAGCAGGTTGTCTTAATAACACGATATGGCGCAATCCCCACATTAATACCGACGTGAAATCAAGAATCTACAAAGCAACAATAAGACCAATAATGACATACACTTCAGAGACAAGACCGGATACCTCCAAAACTCAGCAACTACTAGAAACAGCGGAGATGCGTTTACTGAGGAGAATTACAGGAAACACACTGATGGATCGAATGAGGAGTGAAGAGATCAGAAGAAAATGCAATATACCAGAAATAAATGAGTGGACACTGAACAGAAAAAAGGAATAGAACGAACACATAAACAGAATGGAAGAGACCGATTAGTCAGAATAGCGAGGGACAAATCACCAAAAGGTAGAAGAAGTATTGGGTGACCACGCAAAAGATGGAGTGATAACCTGCAATAGAGGCATTAATCGACATTGAACAAGCATTTTGCTTATAAAAATAAAGAAGAAGAAGAAATAAATCTAAAATCAAATTGACAGGTACCTGAGTTGGAGTGAGAAAAGAGATTTTGTAAATCTTCAGTTCATAAATCTTATTGCAGGTGAAATGATTGTAACTTCAAAACAAATCTATTTTATCATTTTCCATAAGATGAGTGTGATCTTCTTTAGATCAGTATGAATAGTAATCACCAAATGTTACTCACTCAACACATAAAATAATCACTAATACAAAATATATTTTGCTACTAAATTATTTTTTTATCAAATTCATGCTTATCAGTTGTCTAATATAATACAGTCTATAGTCAAAAAAGGTGTTCAAAAATTTTGTTAATTATGGATATTTTCGTTAACAGGCACATAGTAAAATTCACTATAAGTCAGGCCAGATTATTTGTAAGATTTGTAAACAAGTATTTTCCAGTCAAAGCACATTATGTAGACATATGAAAACACACAATGGAGCGAGAAAGCATGTTTGTAATGAATGTGGTAAAGGATTCACCAGATCAGATGATCTCACAAGACATTTGCGGACTCACACAGGTTTGTATATTGCTATAATGTTTCTAATATGTTATTTAACTTGTTAAGTATTATTATCTTATAAACTGCCTCTGAAATAATAAGTATTTGATCTATTTTATGGCTTAGATACTTTAAATTAAGTCAACAATGATTGTTGTCTTTGCATTTATCTTTTACAGGTCAGTTTGATAATTACATTTGTCTATGAGTTTGTATAGTGAATTATACCAATATGAATTCCCTTTACCAACATTTTCTAAATACCCACTCCTTACAAGAGCCTGCAAATCAACAATTCTTCATATTGGGTGATTACAGTACAAAGTTCACTCATTGTTACAACTTGCACTACATTGTCTTTCATCTCTGTATCCACAATTATACCAACTTCATTTCTATTGTCCTAGTGTGATTTTTCTAAGCTGTAATGGCCTTTCCCTGAAATATCCTCATCACCTCATTACTAATTTTACCTCAAAAGATGCCATCATTTCAGTAACATATTGGAAGTATTTTTATTATTATGACACATATTTTATATGGAATTTGTTTTAATCAATTCAGCATTATTGAGACAAAATTATTTTTTCCTTTCCCAGATGCTTCTTCAAAAAATTTCTAGAGAAGATTCAATTTTTGTTGAAACTTCTGTCATTAGATAATTGTTGGAATATTCTTTGTCTGTCTGGAATTCACTCTATCTGTGTTTATCTTTCTTATTTCTCTTATTTTTTCATCTTTATATCTGTCTATCAGTTTATTCTGACTTTTTTTTTTCAAATGAAAAACCTTAAATAGTTAGATTAGCTGGAAAATTTATTAATTTTGTTTTCAAGTGTTTACATAGGCTTAATTAATTAAAGTATTATATATATATTATGTATTTAAGTTGAAGGCTCATTTTAAATTATTTTTTCTTGTTGTATCTTCACTGAAAGACCTTTTTATTGAAATGCAACATAAATTTCACCTATTACCATCCACTTCAAGATTGTGTGCTGAGCTCTTGCTACTATAATTCATACCACTTATCAGTTTCTCTTTTTTGTTATGTATACAGTATGAATTTTTTATTCTAACAACTTTTTAGGTGAAAAACCATTTAAATGTGAAGAATGCGGAAAATCTTTTGCCCAATCATTTAGATTATTAGAACACACAAGAGCACATGCTGATAAAAAGACCTTTATATGTTCAGTTTGTGGGAAAGCATTTTCGAGATATACAAGTTTTGCAGCTCATAGTAAAACCCACAGTGGTATAAAGAATGTGATTTGTTCTGTTTGTGGCAAAGGGTAAGTAGGACTTCAGTTTAAATACTTGATAATGTTTCAGTGTCTTGAAGCTTTCTTCTGTAAAGAAATTGTTTCAAAATTTTGAAAGCAATAGTTTTGAGCATTTTCTTTATTAGTGTTAAAATGGCATTAAAGATTTAATAATTTTGAATTGTTTATGGCTGTTTAAGATTTTAATGATATTTGTACTGTTGTGGTTTACATAGAAATTACTGATTTAGAAATTGTTACCTTAATATCCAACACAAAAATCTTAAAGCCCTATACATGTACACTAATTGGGTCAAAGTAAAAATTTTAAAACAAAGTTTATCATTTAGTTCTGTATGGTCCAACTTTTTGGACCAAACTGCGTCAGATAAACTGACATTGTGTATTCTCTTTGCTCTTTGGTTGCATAGATTTGAATGATGCCCATCCACAGTGTTTTTATTTTTATATAAAATTAAACTTATAGAAAATATAAGTAAATTATACAAAAACTATTATAGCTAGAAAAAGTTTGATAGCAGTTTCATTATACATGTGAAAAAACCTCTAATTAGGATTCATCATCACTATGAAAAAAATGTCTAGATGATTATGGAATGTACTTGATAGCTCTATGTTTGGCAAACTAGTTATTTTGGTTTTTAAATTTTTAGGTTATGTGGAACAGGATCTTTGGCGATACACATGAAAACTCATACTGGAGTTAAAGATCACATATGTCCATTCTGCGGAAAAGGATTTACTACACCTAGTAATTTAAATATTCATAAACGGATACACACAGGTAATTTCTTCTTTAAAATATTTGATATTGTTTGAAGTTTATTGCAGAAATTGTATAAAACTGCTCTGGATAATTTAAATGTTTGGTATTTTATGTTTGAAGTATTATTGAACAATTTTAGGTGAAAGACCTTACGTTTGCAACGATTGTGGCAAGGGATTCCCTGACCTGTCTCGTCTTACCGTCCATTCGAGATTACACACAGGAGAAAAACCTTACGTTTGTTCAACGTGCGGTCGGGGTTGCATAACTTCCTCTCAACTGAAAAAACATATACGAATACATTCTGGTGAAAAGCCATATCTGTGTCAACTATGTCCAAGGGCGTTTATAAGGAGCGACGATTTAAAAACACATGTAAAGACTCATACAGGTTAGTATACACATATAATCTATTATTTAAAGAAAAAGAAATATTCATATCCGAATCACATTAACCCTACAGCAGGCGCGCTGACTACCGTTTCATCACCGGGCGCGATGTGTATTTTGTACACAAAACACATTTTAGTTGATTTTATCAAATTTAGTGCGTTTTAACAAAATGACAACCACGATTTACAAAAATAGTTTATTGTTACATAAAATAATAAACATAAAACATGTACCTACGGGTTACTACGGGAAGATATCGCATTGTCGCTCTTTCTGAAAGATGTACTTTCATTAAACTCAAGCTTAAATTCTTTAGAAAAATTCGGCGACATATTTTGGGATTTGTTTTATTTGCACAAAACAACACCTGCGCGTTGATACCCGCCATATCCATTAGAGAAAAAAATATAATTAGTAGCCATCATCTGGTTATTCTTTTTACAGAATATATGATGCTAGACAGCACTTTGGTCAATAGTATCCACACCGCCTTTTGTGGCATTATAATCTAGAATAATTTCTGGTTTTTTAGTTTCGACGTCTACGGTAGCAGTGTCATGCATCGTGGATAAAAGTATGACCGACTTACTTTTTTTTGACATGCGTGACATTTTTCTGGAATCCAAAGAGTGACGTTCCCACTTCTTTTTGTTTTCGGGGTAAAAATTCAATAGGTATTTCCCTTTTGTTTTTTCTCAAAGTGCCAATTGTAGTTATTTTATTTTCCAAAAGGGAAGTAGCTAAAGGATAACTGGTATACCAATTATCGGTTGTGGTACCTTTTATATATTTTGTGGAATTTTGTGGAAGTTTGAAAACAAAGTTTTCAGTGTTTTATTGTTACATAAAATGAATTTCCATCAAGTAACGGTCGAATCCATCAATTATTTTATATAATCAATAAGTTTATATCACTGGGAGAGTTTGATACAGCATAAGGCCCCTCAGGTTGCCGTCCACAATAAACCTCTAAATTTCCAACAAAGTAAGTTTGTGCATCGCCCAAAATGAACAGCTTGATACCGTATTTTGCTGGTTTATTTGGTAAATACTGGATGAAACTACGTCCTCTGAATCCCTCTAGTTTTTCGTCTATTGTAACAAATTCACCAATATTATAGGAATTTTTACAGTTACTAACAAATGAGTCCAATATTTTTCTAATTGATGCAAGTTTGTCATATATTTTCCGTTCATGTCTTGTGGTTTTGTCATCAAAGCGCATTGAACGTTTGTAACTCATTACAGCTCTAAGAATTTCTATACTTATTCCATCAGATGTCCAAAGTCCAAGTGCGTTAGTATGGTTAGCCTTTTTAGTGCCTAGGAGGTAAAGCACTCCCAGTAACGCCATTATTTCACTTTTTGAAGTATTTTTCATATCTCGTTCTCTTTTATATTGAACAGATTCTTTTTTACTATTAATGTTCAAATTAGTAAATTGTACGATGTTCTCTAATATATCAGAATCTATAATTTTTTCAAAAGCTGAAAGTTCTGAGGTCACTTTTGAAGCCACTGCCTTTGGTCCTGGAAGTGTTTTGATAATATTTTTCTTTTTAATTTTTGATTGCGACGACAGCGGAGTCTTACGCCATGCAGTTTTTTATCTTTACCTTGAAAATATTCGAAAGCAGTCGTACTTACTGCAGTATTATCCTCGAAGTTACTGGCTCTGTCGTGGTCATTCTGTTCTTGTTCAGATTCAGAATTGTGGTCATCATGGTGTATTATTTCTTCATCTGTCTCAGATTCATCGGAATATTCTATTTCACTAGTTTCTGTTTCTGGGTCTTCATTAAGAATTTTATATAACTCAGCCTCAGTTAAAAACTTCTTTCTAGCCCTGCAAAAATAAAAAAAGTAACACACAAATAATATAACAATGCAACTAAATTCTTACATGATATTCTCTCAGCGTAGCCGTTATATTCCTTCTCAATTATGTTACAATATCCTGTTCAACCTAAAATAAAGTAAAACTAAAGTTAATTTGACTTTAATTTCGAATTACAACTTTTTATAAAGTAAAATAATTAATGGATAAAATACTTACACTAGAAGGCGCGCCGTGTATTATTTACACAAAACCGTCACACTCTCGTATTTCTAAGAATTCTCACAAAACTCAGCTGCAACAAAAAATATTACTCAACTATTCGACGACGGACAGATCACTACTGGACGATAGACGCGACGATATCGCCAGATTGACAACATTCTATTTTTAGACGACTTTTTCTATTGGACGTGTACAAAATACACGGGCGCGCCCGCTCGAGGATTAAATAAAGAATGATCTTATATTTTCTGTATTCATTATTTCTGTCTTAATATATATTTCCACCATTTAAGTATAATATGAATCATAATGTGCGTATTTTATTTGATTAGTGGCCTCAAAAAAAAAACGGTCATTATAGTTAACTTTTATAATTACTTGTGTATCTTAAATATTTTCTGCAACGTCACTGCTATGATATTAGAGTTATCCTATTATCTATGCTGCACACCCCTTCTTAGAATGCTTTGCCATTCCATTTGAATTTGAAAGTACACTTAAATTAAAACATCACACTGATAATTTCCTTAAATATATTAATTAGTATGCTATTTTTGCTTGGTTTTATTTTTCAATACTTGTGTTAATCTTACTAATTCTCATTTTTGTTTTTTTTTTTAGGTGATAGGAGCCATGTGTGCACCTACTGTAATAAAGGTTTCTTCCAGGCATCAACTCTAAAAGTTCACATGAGGATACATACTGGCGAAAAACCCTACGACTGCAAAATATGTAATATTTCCTTTTCTCAAACAGGTCCCTTAACGACTCATATGATGAAGGTTCACTGCCATCTACTGAAGAAAGAAAATGTAGAACAAAATATACAAGGCAGTTAAATCTTTTCTGTGTGATATTGAAACTGGTCTAAGATCAAATGTTGTTCCATTAAAACGTTTCGACTGACTCACTGGTATCCTACCTACTCTTACCCAACGAGAAGAGATAGTGCGCCAAAACAACAAGGCGTTGCCAAATTTGCCAGGTCCGGATTTAACGTTTGCTAATACATACTCTTTTATACATATTTTTTTGGTAAATCGGAAATCCAAAATTAATAATATGTTGTACTTATCTGGATTCATCTTGTTGGTTTTATGCAAAAGAAATTTTTCCATTTTAAAAATAAATAGCAAAGTGTAACACGCTTCTATTTACAATGAAATAAAACACCGCCACTTAAATACGAAGTCAAAAATATAACACAAATAAAGATACTTCTAATTGATGAAATCAACTGAAACCCATATATAAACAATGTCTTGGGAATCTCCTAACCTAATCGCATGTTGAATCATAAATATTACGCAAAATTACGCTCACGCTGCATCCTTTATAATAGCGAGTTTGAGTTTATACACGCAAGAATTTGCTGACGCCAGCATTTGTTGGCACGCTAGTAAAATAAAATTGCATGTATAAACAGTTACTGCGAGAAGTAGCGAGCAAGTCCGAAAAATGCATGACTGTTTATACATGCAATTTTATTTTACTAGCGTGCCAACAAATACTGGCGTCAGCAAATTCTTGCGTGTATAAACTCGCTATAAGTTCAGTTGATAAAATAGCTTTCGTGGTAATTGTACATTTCGGCGCGTTTAATCGAACTTAGTGGGTGTTTATTTATGCTTTCTATTGTTTGCTTTTATATTTATTTTTTACACTGTTTACAGTTTGCTGTCTAATTTTCAGTTTTACAAACAATGTCGAGCTCTACAGATTCTGCCGAGGAATTTACTCCAAAAAAGCGTTCAAAATTACGTGCATTTAGTAGTACGGAAAAAGCGTTATATATAATATTTATAAATCGACAACGGAATCGTCCTGAAGCTTTAATATCGGAAATAGTTAAACAAACTGCTTCTACCAGCGGAGTAGGTGAAGCTTCTGTGTACAGAATTATTAGGGAACAGAAAAGTACAGAAGGATTTTCTTCACCGAAAAAGAACAAACCCAGAAAAACCATACTTCACAAAATAGACGATTTTGATAAAACTGCTATTCGTCGAATTGTACATCAATTTTTTTTTCGCAACGAAATACCAACTGTAGACAAAGTTCGTGCAGCTGTTAACGACGACGAAAGCTTGCCAAATTTTAAACGCAGTACTTTCCATAAATTTCTAATATCATTAGATTTTAAATACGTACGTAGGGGAAAAACAGTGCTTCATTAGAACGAGAAGAGATTATTTTATGGAGGCAAAATTTTTTAAAATCCATTAAAAAATTTCTGGAGGAAAACAGGAAAATTTATTATTTAGATGAAACGTGGGTAAATGCAGGACATACAAAATCTCATGTGTGGGTTGACGAAACAGTGAAATCTTCCAGGCAGGCGTTTTTGTCAGGTCTCTCAGCAGGTCTCAAAAATCCATCTGGCAAAGGAAAAAGACTGATTCTTACACATATTGGGAGTGAAACAGGTTTTGTAGAAGGTGGCCTATGGACGTTTGAATCAAAAAAGAGTGGCGACTATCACGAGGAAATGAACTCAGACGGTTTTGAAAAGTGGTTTGCAAATGTTTTGCCTTTTAGAAGACAACTGTGTCATAGTTCTCGATAATGCTCCTTACCATTCGCGAAAAAGTGATAAAGTACCGACTACAGCATGGATAAAGCAAAAAATAAAAGACTGGATACGATAAAAAATTATCGACTTCGATGAGGACATGCTTAAAGTTGAACTCTTACAATTAGGGGCACCGCGTAAGGCTGAATATAACAAATATGTTATCGATGAACTCGCAAAAGCTCAAAATAAAACCATTTTACGTTTGCCACCCTACCATTGTGAGCTCAATCCTATTGAGCTGATTTGGGCTGATGTTAAAAATTTTGTTGCTGCCAACAACAAGACTTTCAAATTTGCAGATTATCCAGGAGAAATGGGAAAAACTGTGTGAAGCATGTGCAGAATACAGTAGAAAAAAAGTTCTGGGAACTTGATAATATTATTGAGGTCTAGGTTGAACCGTTAATTATAGAAATTGGTCAAGTTTTTCCTAATTGTTTTTAACGACAACAAGGCAAGCCATCTTAGTAGCCACGTTTTTTTTCCCAAGTTAGCTATAAAACGGAAGGCGAACGATTTTTTTGGCATGTAAGCCTCGTTTGTTTGTATTTATTTTCATAATTATCCCACTAATCTCAATTATTATTTGTAAATCTTTTTTATAAGAATAATTCTTAACACATTTTCCTCAAGTTTGATTTATTATAATTTTACCAGACTGATTAACGGAAATAGAAATAAGTGCACAAAATATAAAGGGTTTGAAAAAAAAAGTTATTTTAAATGTCATTCCATATGCATTGCAAAATGTATGTGCTCATTTTTCATAATTGTCAACAAATGGATTTAAAATCTATGTAGCACAATAAAATATAACAAATTGGCAACAGCGCAATAACATAAGTATCGTCTAACTGTGGCTAGGGATGCATCTTTAGCATCTTTATCGTTCGACTTCTCTTCAAATACTAATTTAATGGAAGTTACAGCAGTACAGCTGTGTACAGTGTTGTCAGTTGATTTAGTATTAGTATTTAATTTAAAAATACAAACAAACAATTGTATAATGAATATCTATTCCCAAGTTTATGACATATGGGATGAGAAAAACATTTATTGCCGACTTTGTATGTGCATTGAATCAAAAATGTTCTATTATTTAAAAATATATATTCATAAATATCACTTAATTTTCGTAATACAGATCTGAAATAGGCGGAGAGAGATATAAACGCCAGCCAATTAACACGTTTATAACCCTACACGCGTATATTTCGTTGTTTACTGGCACTATCGCTTCTCGGTGGATAGATTCTAGTTTGTTTTCGATTGGTTCCAAAGTTGGTTCTGGTTCTGTATTCTTTTGAGTTTTGCTCTCAATTTACACTAGCTCTCACTCATTGTTGTATTATTGTTCTAAGCTCTGATGTCACAATGGGCGGGGCTTTTAAAAACCTTGACATATATTTCTAATTTTTGTGTATTTGTCCCTTAAGAAGTTGTAAAAATTAGTTTTTTAAATTATTTGAAGAAAAATAAGGACTTTTGGTTATGAACATTTATTCTGTGCGATTGGGATTATTTGTTGTTCGTGAATTTGTGAGGTAAAAATATCAATGTGTTAACAATGACGTATAATATATAGACTACGCAGTCCCCTATTCTCGCTATAGAATCAAGTGTCCGAAAGATCTCGGCTCAAGGTTGAAGGTATGTTTATCACAACAGCGGCGTGCTCATTTATATGTTAATGACAATAATTATTTTTTTAATTAAATTTAAATATTTATGATTTCTTTTTGTTCCCGTCTATAAGAGAAATAATTATTTTGATAAAATAGTATGGCATTTTACTAAAATAGTAAGTAAATAACTCTCAACAATTTAAAATAAAATTTGCTTGTCACACAAAATGGAGAAAATGTTTTCATACGTCCATGATGTTTTCAAACACAAGATCAACTTCGTGATGCTTCGTAAGAAATCATGAACTTCGTGCATCTTCGTATCAAAACAATAAACAATAACAAAGGTATTCATGTTTTGGACACTTTTTAAAGCGTTCACCGAGTCTATATATTATACGTCATTGTGTGTTAAGATATTTACTATGAATGTTCATATATTAAGGTTATGTAAAACTTTAATTATTTTTTTACTGTATTTCACGGTATTTCTTGTTATTTTTATCGGGGTTATTTCAAACTTAATCAATGAATGATTGAATATATTTACGAAGTTAAAAAATATTTAAATTATTGTTATATCATTTTTTAAGTACTAGTGATTTTATCCCATAAAAGATTAAATATATTCGTTTTCTTATAGTAAATAGTAGTTTTGTTGTGATTACTGAAAAATTCAGTAATACTGGATATCCTTAGCACATGTTTACTAGCTACTACATGCCCATATCTAAAAAATAAACTCAAAAACTATTACAATAAAAAAAATTTAAGCACTCATTGTGGCAATTTGATAAAAAGATTTCCACAGACTGTTATATTTCAACTTAAACTACAAAGAAAACGAATATCTTTAGTCTTTTACAGGATAAAATCACTGGCAAAAGGCACAAATACCTTGAAATACATTAAAAAATAAAGTTTTAATCAAACAATAACATAACCTTAAAATATGAACATTCATAGTAAATATCTTAGTACTTTGATATTCTTACCTCACAAATTCATGAAGAAGACATAAACCAATCGCACAGAATGAATGTTCATAACCAAAAGTCCTTATTTATTCTTTAAACAATTTAAAAAAACCAATATTTCCAACTTCTTATGGGACAAATACACAAAAATTAGAAACGTTTGAAAAGGTGATGAAAACCTGCCTATTGTGACGTCAGACTTAGGTAGTCCATACATCACGACTGAAAGGGTGACATTTTGAAATTATTTTCTTCACGAAATTTAATTTAAAATTCATTTGCTTCCTCCTATAACAACTATCGTTGGCACGAGAGAATTTCTAATTTTTTTAATTCCCGCACTCATGATTCTTTGCCGTCTAAAGTGTATTGTTAGATTTATAGTGGTAGTTCGTAGTGGACAAAGGGCTCTAAAATTTCACTTCCAGATTAGCTAAGGCAGCCGTGTGCAAATTTACTAATCATCAATCGATTGAATATAGGAAAAAAGCATTTTTAAGCGTTATGTGGCGTTTTTGCCCCATTGTGCGGCGAGCGTTTTACTACAGTAAATGTGTTATATCTCGGGATTGGCTTCGAATTCCTATATAATATTTTAGAGAGTTATTTTTGAACGTGAAAGGAATCTAACGATGTAAAAAAATTGAAAATTCTAGACGGTA